CCCCTGCTGGCCACGTGTTGGCGGCGCCCGCTGAGGCGCCCCCTGCTGGCCGCACGCCAGAGGCGCCCCCTGCTGGCCATGTGTTGGCGGCGCCCGCCGAGGCGCCCCCTGCTGGCCACACGGCCAAGGTGCCTGCTGCAGCATCCCACAGGGTTCCTGAGCCACAGCCCTGTCTGGAGGATGGCAGCAGGTTTCACCTCCTGCAGGAACAGTACTGGCGGGTGGTTGGCGAACCTGCCATAAAAGACTCCCTGGAGGCAGCTCCGCTCCTGGAGCAACTCCGCAGGGAGTTTGCCAGGGCAGCCCCTGATTCCCCACTCCAACAGCTAGCCCGGGTGGAAGAAACCCTGAGGCAGCTGCTCCGTCTGCGGCCTGCTGCCGCCGCTCCTCCTGCAGCGCCCCCTGATGGCCGCACATTCGCTCTGCCCGCGGCACCGTCTGAGGCTCTTCCGTCCAGCCCGGCTCTCCTGTCCAGCCCGTCCAGCCTGCGGCCACGCCCGCGGCTCCAGCTGCACCGCCTGCAGCCACGCCTGCAACCTCACCTGAGGCCCTGCCTCGAATTCCCCCAGCCCTGCTCACTGTCCCCGAGGAGGTCCCAAACTGTTTGGCTGCCGCTCCTTCCTCCGGGGAGGAGGAAGGCCTTGAATGGGATCCCTCTGGGATTGCCCTATGGACCTCCCTTGAGACTCCCACGCCCTTGCCCCGGCAAGGCCGACATTCCCCAGGACCCCACCTATCTGTGTCCCGCAAGGGGAGGGGACATAGACGTCGGGCCGAGGTCCCGCCCGCCCTGCCCCCTGACTCGCCCTCGCTCGCTTTAGCTGGGGCTCGGGGCCCGCCTGTGGTCCCTCCTGCTCCAGCCCGGCGGTCGCCTGCGGGTCCCCCTCTGTGGCCTCGTCCCCCGGCCTCGGTCCCGCCTCCGACTCCGCGTCGGTCGCCTGCGGGTCCCCCTGCGCCGGCGCGTCGGCGGACGGCGCCTTCGCCCGCTGTGGCGGCGCCTTCGCTGGCTGCTGCTTCCCTCTCCTCCTTCCCTTTGCTGTTGGCCCCTCCGACTCCCTCCTTGTCTCCTCCGTCTGTCCCTCACCCTGTCTCCTTGTTCCCTTCGTGGTCCCCTCCTGCTCCCTCCTGCTCCCTCCTTCCTGTCGCCTGCGGCCCCTCCGGCCACCACCCGTCGCCCGCCTGGGCTCCCCTTTGTCCCCCTTCCGTGCCTGTCTGGTCTCCCCTGTCTGCTCCTCCTTTCTTCGTCCCGCCTGTTTCTCCTGCTCGTCCCTGTGTTCCTCCTCCATGCACTCCTGGCCCCTTCGTGTCGCCTGTGGGTGCTTCCTCCGTGTCTCCCTTCTCTGTCTGTCTGTCCGCGTTTCCGGTCTTGTGTGGGGTTTTGTCCCTATGCCTGTTTTGTGCTTCTGTCTTGTTCCCTCTTCCTCGTTGATGTCTTGCTTTTTGTTTTTCAGTTCCTGCCCCTCGTCTCGTCCGTCGCCTCCCCTCGGGCGCGCCCGGTGTGCGCGCCTTTGGGGGGGGGTTCTGTCACGTTCAGCTCCGAACGCTCCTCGTGTGTGCCACGCCCCCTCATTACCTCCTGTCGAAACTTGATGTATCTCACCTGTTGCCTGTTACGTTTGCCTAGT